ANATTTTTTTTTTTTTATTTGTTTTACTTTTCTTTGTTTATTTTGTATGTGTTTTTTTAATTTCAGTAAATTAAGGTGGTTGAATGCTTCTCTCAGAGAAAACAATTTTAAGTTTCAGTTTTAAAATAAAGCATAAAATTAAAGTGTGGATGAATCGTCAGTTATGCTTTACTCTTCCTCACCATCTCGGAACTTATCTCAGCAAAAACTATTAATTATCTGCAGGTAGTGATTAACACATATAAAGGATTGAACAGAAATCGCTCACGCGGTTACAGCGCCAGTAAAGAAGATCAATAACATAAAACAATTTCAAAATGTGCAAAATTTATTAAATTTATATTAGAGTGTTTAATGCGGAATAGAGCTGGTACGCGGGAGTACTGCTAAACGACAATGATAAAACTAATGCCTGACTCAATAAAAGGTGTCGAATTATTTTAAGTCAAGGCTATATTGAATTATGTTTTTCTATTTTTTTATTTTACCGCATCTTGTTAATAAGAAACAAAGAAAAATATTTATTATTTTCTGAAAAAAAAATTTAATTTTACTATACACCGGACTTTTAAATTTCAAATACAACTATTTTAATGAAAGTGTAATTGTGACCACGATATTGAAAGAATTGCTATAATATTTTACTTACAGTTACCTTAACTACTGTATATTTTAATTATTAGAATAAACAATTAAAATTACAAAGTTGACTTTTGGCCGTTTTTGAATGCCTTCTGGCCCTCTGCGCAATGCCTATATTCTGGCCCAGATTTTTGGAGCTTTTCGAGAGTTTGAAAGTGTTATATTATTTACGGGGCAATTCTAGCTAAAACAGTAAAAAATCTTTCGTAAGGCAAATAAAAGATCTTTGTTATTCTAGCATAAAAGTATAAGAAAAAAAGCTCTCTCAGGCACCACTCCTAGTGAAAGCGCTTGTATATCATTTAGCTCGGGTCGCTTTAATGCAGAACACTGGCGTTAAATACGGGAGATCCGAGTTCGAGTCCTAAAACAGAGGATTTTTTTTTAGTTTAAATAGTTTTCTTTTAATTTTAATAATGTTTTAATTGTTTTAAAAAGAAAACTACTTTTTTTTTTTTAATTTCATTCAAATTGACTCTTATTTTATGTATTTTTTTCTTTCTTTTTTATTTTATGTATAATTCCATTTAATTTTTAGGAATTTATTTAATTTTGTCCTTTTTTGAATATTTTTTTTTAGTTCAATATGCTCTAAATTTTATTGTTTATGAAAGAAAAAACTTATTTTATTTATTTATTTTTTTGTTTATTTATTTTACTTTTCTTTTGTTATTTTCATTTGCTTTTAATTTTTAAATTTTAGTGTTTTCACAAGGAAAATATATTTATTTCATTTAATTTTTACAATTGTTACGGAAGACTTTTATGTTTCGAAAGACTGTGGTGAGTTGAAAGGCAGGTGCCCGAATCGTCCTGATAATTTCAGCCCATCCATCGAATATTTTGACTGAGAACCTAATCGGAGGATGGAGGAATAAATTTTAAATCCTACTCCTTTTGCTATGTTTTACAAGTTTTAATAGTTTCACCAAAGTAACTGAGCCATGAAATGAAAATGTTCGACTGTGACCCAAGAAATGCTCAAGGGTATCATTATCATTGTTTCCATCCTAAGACATTTTCATTCTGTATCAATCCTAGGTTCGCCGCGTGAAATTATATGAGCCAGTGTACCATAAGTACCGCAATCCCGATCCCATCCATTCCGAAATTGTATTTTTAAGTCCCGAACCAGTCCACAACGTTTTTTGAAATTTTACCGCGGGTTCCGCGCGTGCCGAAATCTATTATTAAGAAAATTTCACATGCCTTTCAAATTAATTTTAAGTAAAAGATAATGAAAGATCTTGCTTCGATTTTTTTTTGCTTTGCTGTTCGTTTTCGTCTCAATAAAACATAACACATTTCATTCAACGTTTTAAGGAAGATTTTCTGAATTTTCGGCAGTTGGGGGTTTTATCGGGAGTGTCGGGAAAGGATTTTGAACCAGTCCCGCCCACAAAATTTGTAATTACCTTCCCGATACCACCCGGCCTTTTTGAAATCAGTACTGTGGGTCCCGCGGGTCCCGATATTCCGCGCCCATCTCTAACCCAAACCACTAGGCCAGGGAGTGGTGGTTTTTGGGTTGTAATATGGTATGTATGTACAAATATCTAAACAAAATATATATGGTAAACGTACTTATATATATGTATGTATGTATGTATGTATTTACTTACAATATTTTTCAACCCAATTAACAAAGTCGTAATTTATCAATTTTACTCAAAGGCTCGTCATTTTTATTTCAAAAAGATATATTACAAAATAATCCGTATTACTTTTGCCAGTAGAATGTAAAATTTACGAAGGGGCAAATTGTTACGGTGTAAATAACTCAAATGTTTATCAAATTGTACGTACATACATATGTATGTATGAACTGAGCAGCAATAAATCAACAAAACGTTGAAAGCAATCTACAATTGCATCAGTTTACATGGGTAAGAAATGCCAATTATTTAGGATATTAAGAAACTATAACTAAAATATAGTATTTATGTATGTATGCGTGCACTACATATTTATGTACATTAGTGCATACCTTAAAACTACACATTCGATATGAATAACTTGTAACTTAGTTAAGTTGTAATGAAATTAGATTTATGGAGGAGTTGCGTACGCTTACGGTACTTGAAATAGCCAATAAAGACCGAACGATTTATATACATACATGCATTTATTTTAATTTATTCCATTGCAATTTTCTATTATCAAATTACCGTCGACACAAATAGTAATGTACATTCCTTAAAATATAGAAGTTATTTGATGTTGCCGCTCTTTGGCAATTAAACAATTAATTATGGTAGGGAAAGTTTAAAATAAAATAAAATAAGTTTAAAAGATAATCAAAGGCAAGAAGTACACTGAACATATAAACATATGTGCCTAAAAAATATGCCCTAAGGTCAGCCACCGACCATCTTTATTTATTTTAATTTTTTCGGAATGTCGCAAAAATAACCAACGACTGCTGCTGCGCATTGTTAATAACCCGTTAATTTTTAGGGTAAACAAGCGCATTTAATAAGGAAACCTGTTGAACAAATAAGATAAGCAAGTTCAGGTGCATTAATTTATACTTGTACCAGTGTTGCCAGGTCTTCGGCATGAGAAAACGTCCCTCTTGGTTTGAAAAAACGTTATTTCCTACCCAAAAACGTCTTTTCCAATTGAATGTACAAAAAATTCGAGCCCTAACCGCCATAATAACGTAAGCGACATTTTTTCAAAATTTTCTTTTTGATGCAGAAATATTCCTAGAGCATCTAGATGCATTTCTGCATTAAAAAGAAAATTAAAAAAAAAATGTCGCTTACGTTATTTTGGCGGTTAGGGCTCGCTTTGTACTAAGGTATATTAAAATGTCATTTGAGAACGTTATTATAATTTTATACATACAATTGTGATCAGCTGATTAAGTCATCAACATTTTGATCGATTTTGGCTGTTTCTCTTTCGTTTATTTATGTTTATTATTTTGCCATAAAAACCAAGCTCATTAACAAACAAAATATAAATCCACAAAAATTGTGCAAAAATTATAAACAATCTGCAACCAGCTAGATTTTCAACTTCTTATTCAGATTTTTTAGAATTTTTTTTTTGAGTATGCAGTTTGATAGCCCATTAAATTTCAGGGCAATAATGTGCAAGTTTAAAAGGGCGTTAATTTTTAATAATTTTTTTTTTTCTTGTAGACATTTGGCCCCTGACTCGGTTGTCGAAAATGCAAAATTACGTTCTGCTAAGAAGGAGCACAGCAATAGGTCCACTCAATATCAAACAATTGTTACGAATTGTTGCTAGTACTTGCAAGTTTTTACTGGAAATGCATTCAATAACCCAAAATATTTGCAAGAGGGAGCGAATTCGAGAGCGCAACTATCCGAGAGAGCTGCAAATTCTTTCAAGTAAAAATTTTACTCGCAGGAATTTGCAGGAGTCAAAAAGTAAGGTTATGTTTCAAATTCAAATGTAAACAGACTGTTTAAGAGGATGATTTGATGAAACCTAATTAGTGAAATGAAAATATGGATGAAAAATATAAATATATTGTATACTTTTTTTTTTTTTTATGACGATGGGAACTATTCCCATTTAAAAAGAAAATTTCGCATCAAAACTTAACCGTCAGAAAGTGTCAAATGGCTTAAGTTGCAAGTTTTTACTTGTTTTGCGTTCAATAACTTTTTCTGAAAATTTTCTCTTGCTCTCAATTTTGATCTCTATTTTTTATTTACGCTCTCGCTGCACGTACTTACTGGACAAGTTATTGAATGGACGTAATATTTCAGTCTTTTTTGTGTTCATTACATTTTCAATGAAGTCTTAAAAAAGTCGCCTACTTTTTTCTGACGTTTTATGCTGCAGAGCTTTTTTGATGCTTTTTCGAGCGTGCCTGCTGCAATAGATCGGCTCTTCCTGAATTGGCTTTTAATGTGCTATTGCAAACATTACAGCAAGCCTCGTAACCTCAAGTGTTTACAAAACCAGCCTTTGACACGGGATCGTTAGTCCAAGAATCAATCTTTTGAAGCAGCTGCAGCAAAACACAAAAATTACAAAGATTTATTAAGAAAATAATTCAAAATCAGTTCTACTTATAAAATTTAGTAACGTCCAAACGTCAACAGGATACAAAAAACGTCCAAATGACGTTAGAAACTTCAACCTGGCAACGCTGACTTGTACATACTACATTCATATTCCTGCATATTTAAACGAAGAAATGCAAAGAAATATTATCAGGCACAAAGCAATAACAATTCTGCCCAAAATTACGAGCATTTATTTCAATTCGAAAAACTCGACTTTTGCACAAAAAATTTCACCACAAAACTACAGGGTAACGAGCTCAAGCCAGAAATGAATGTAAAGCCTACAATCAGTGCTGTTCGAAAGCGTCAAAGGGGAGCATTCTTCAATTTGTTCTTGAACCTAAAAGGTTCCAAATTTGAGAATATATATATATATATATATAGCAATCAAATATTTAATCACTCTAGCAAACGTAAATAGATTGACGACTAATGTGAGTGTGAAAATTAATAGTGTAGTGTACATACATATTACATATTGCTCAACAAAATGTGTGTACAAAAATTGATAAGCAAATGATTTTTATAAAAAAAAAATTATTTAAATGAAATTGATTTTTAATTTATGAAATTAAAAAGAATGTATGTAATAGTGCTAATTAATTAACTGTGAAGTCAATTACTTATGCGAATTCATAGCAAAATATACAAGTAACTGAAATCAAAAATAATTGTTTATAAAAGTGCGTATTTGCAGATGAGCTTAAAAATAGATACAATGTAAAATATTAATTTTTAAGAAAAAATATATACGTGCGAAACTACAGGTGAAGTGTAGCAAATCTGTGTTTTTAGTTTTTTTTCACAAAACGTCAAAATTTTTTTTAAAGGACCTTTAAGTTTCAATAAGGATAGTGGTTTCAAAAATAAGGCCATGAGACACAGAAATATGGATATCAAATGAAAGAGCGATATTTTTCGTTGCCATTCTGTAGTAAAAGACCCTAACAATGTCCTTTAAAATTGTTTTCCTTGAATATCCTTCGCAAATTTTATTAAAATTCCTTAACAAATAAATATTCTGTGAATTGTTGCTGTTAGTGCATATGAATCAATGCAAACCCTAACGGATATTAAAGAATAAAAAATTTTAAGGCACATATTTGAGGTATTTTGCCATAGGATAACTATAAAAAAATGCTTAGGATTGTCTGCACTGTCCTCTTTCATTTGGTACTCATATTTCCATACCCTGTATAATTTTAGAGCTACATATATGATTCTTTGGAACCACTATCCTTGTTTAAACTGTAAGGTCCTTTTAAAAAATTTAGAAATTCTATGAAAAAAATTAAAAACGCACGTTTATTATACATGAGCCCTATTTCCTCATGTATTATTTGGGTTGTCGCATGGTGTAATAGCCCAGTTTTTGTAAAAAATCTGTTGTCAATCATCACTTAAGTGACTCAAACAAGTGAAGTTTTTTAAATAATCACGCTTTTTTCAAATTAAATTTATTTTTGTTGTTTTTCTATAAAAATATTTAATTTATGTATTTAATCAAAACCATATAAATCAAAGTTTCAATCTTTCTACAAAATTTACGAAAATTCAACAAATTTTCATGATAATTTTTTACAAGTACAAATATCCCAGCCTTCAGAATGATGGAGGGTCCATGTCTGCCGGACTTACCCTATATTATNTTAAGTGACTCAAACAAGTGAAGTTTTTTAAATAATCACGCTTTTTTCAAGTTAAATTTATTTTTGTTATTTTTCTATAAAAATATTTAATTTATGTATTTAATCAAAACCATATAAATCAAAGTTTCAATCTTTCTACAAAATTTAGGAAAATTCAACAAATTTTCATGATATTTACAAGTAAAAATATCCCAGCCTTCAGAATGAAGGAGGGTCCATGTCTGCCGCACTTCCCCTATATTAGACATCATCGATCAATCCTATCAAATTTGATACAAAACTATGCCTATAGAAATATCGCTAGCTTTGAGTTTTCGAAAATTACCGTTTTTTACTTATAACTATTTCAGCATTTAAATAAAATGATTCAAGCAAGAATTCATTGTTTTTACCATGATAAAAACATTACAAGGTAAAATCATTGAGAGGCAGTCTGACGTTTGCCTACATTATAATTTTAAAATTCGTACTCAAGCTCACACACAAATTCTCATTTTTAATCTCAAACAACAACAATTGTGAACAATTTCATTTTTTTTTTTCAATTTTATATGATTTTAAAATGTTTGCAAACGTCAGAAAAAAATCATGGCCGACGAATTGAGAGAATGGTTTTACCTTCTAATGTTTTAATCATGGTTTTTACAATCAATTTTAAAAAATTTAAAAATTGTCTTATTTACAGCCTTGAACTGGCGGGTTCTCGAGATGTGCGCATATGTATGTACATTAAGGTAGTCCAAACAATGGAAAGTCGGAATTTTAACGCTCACACCACCTTGCAAATTCCAATACCACAAAAAAATTATACCCCTGTTCTTTTTTTGTTTTTTTTTTTTTAAATCAAACTATATTTAGCGGCCGCTCAAAGCGCCTAATCTTTTCCTGTATTTCGCTGTGGAACACAAAAAAACACTCGAATGCGCATATGTTAGGTTTCATAGCTGGTGACCATAGGAACAATGCCTCATACTCATGCATTTACTAGATCAATTCGTGATATCTAGAAAACAAGTTTTCAGGATCCAAAAATCTCAGTATGAGAGCATTAAAATTCCGACTTTATCTTTTTTTTTTACCACCCTAATGTACATACTTCTTCATATCCAAGCCCTATGCTAAAGAAATATTCAATATTCAAAAAAATTCATAAGTGGGATTTTATTCCCCATTTGTCAAGGGTTTCGTCACATAACCAAGATGTCCTAGTTATGGTTGACGGGTCCATCGCCGCTAAAATGGAGGAACAATTTTTTTTTTTAATTTACAGAATATTCTCTTTCATTTGGTACCCATATTATTATTCTATATTGCACTGAATTTTTGAAATAATTTTTAGATTTAGTCAAATATTTGCAATTTGAAAGTCCTTAAAAAAACTGAAATCTGAGAAAAGAAATGAAAACGCCGGTTTACAATATATGTGGCTCGTAGTTGTACGCAAAATGTATTCAACATAGTGTGATTGCATTTGACATTGCTCTCAGAAGAACCATCCTATAAAGTCAAATTGAAAAAATTTTTTAGGAATTTCGAATTGCTTATTTATATTTTTTAGCATAATAGTACCTTAAAAGAGAGCCTACCTGAGCTGACAATCACACCTTGTTTAATACACATTGGTTGTACGGGTATATTCATTGTTTTGTGTGTTTTGTAATTTTTTTGTTTTTGTCGCACGGTGTAATATAATACATGTAATAAAACTAGTGAGTTTAAGTCATTGTTTATAAGCTTTGTAATATGATTTGAGCTGCATGTATGAAAGTCCGTACATACTTGCTTACACATGTGAAATGCATATTGCAAATTTATTTAAGTAAAACAATCGGTATACTAATAACATTCTTACTTTCACGTGAAAGTCTACAAAGGTCTTTGCCGCTATCCGCCGTTGAACTGGTTGTACATACAAATACATAAAGTTGCTTTATATGTTTAAATTGCGAGATGAAGCGCGTAATCAAGACAATAATATGTACTCTTCTTTTCTACAATCAATCCATCTGGTATACCATTCAATTTATTGCAGGCGTTCTACCTGGTTTTATTTAATATGGATTTTCCTCATCATCTCTGACAGCGAAAGTTCCTCCAGCTTTGGCAATCAAAGGCAACACCACGGTCACAATGTAAGATCAAATAAATATAAGAAGTTGGAAAAGGAGTACGAGGCCAACAATTTGGAATTCGCTTTTCCCAGCGAAGCTGAAAGACAGGCTTCGTTGCGTGATGGACGTTACAATCCAGATAGTCCCTTGCCGATAGATGTGGATGTATATTATCCGCGTAAATATTTGTTTGAACAATCAACAGTTACAAGCAGTGCGTAGATATACCTTTGTCCTTATTCACAGCGAATGGAAAAGATACCGTCATTTTCATGACCATACCCCGCTTTGGCAGAGGTGTGCCCTACTCGTTGGCATACTTGACAGACGTGGAGCGACCAAATGGCACTGAACTTCAACCATATCCAAGTTACGACTGGCACAAGTCGCATGGCAGTGACTGCGACGGTCTCACGTCGGTTTATCGCATTCAGGTATATGTAAATTATGTAAAGCTTAATAAAACATACTATATAATCAAATCGTACAATCCCACCAGATCGATTCATGCGGTAAAATGTGGATACTGGATAGCGGTGAAATCGAATTCACGCAATACTGTGCGCCGCAATTGGTTGTGCTCGATATAGCCACGACAAGAGTGGTTCACCGTTATCGTCTACCGCAAGGCATGTTCAAACCCACAATAAGCCGTTTTGTTACACCGTATGTGGACATTGCGGACCCAGCACCGTTTGGCTCTTGTCAACAAGCTTTCGTCTACATGGCAGACCCCACTGGTACCGGCTTTGTAGTTTACGATGCGGCGAATGGTCGATCGTGGCGTGTTGAAAATAAATACACCTTCCCCGATCCTGACTTTGGTACGCACACTATAGCCGGTGAGAGTTTTGAGCTCTTGGACGGCGCATTCGGTTTCGCTGTGACGCCTAGACAATTGGGTGTACGTCGCATGTTATACTTTCATGCGCTCTCCAATGATGCACAAATTGCGATTCCATTGGATATAGTCAATGATCCAACCTATTGGAATAATGGCATTAATTCTGGTTTGGAACACTTTGTGCTCTTGGGTAAACGTGGTGTACAGTGTGCTACGCCGGCTATGACATCGAATGGTGTATTGCTTTGTGGACATCTTGAACCGATTGGTATTTTCGGTTGGAACATACTAACACCGTATACATTTGCAAATCGCAAGTTGCTAGCTGAAAATCCAAAAACGCTGCAATTTATCAGTGGCTTGAAGGTGATAAAGAATTTAAAGGGCAAAGAGGAAGTGTGGATGGTAACAAATCGATTACAAAAGTCATTCACGGGTACCACGAATTTTGATGAGACCAATTATCGTATTCTCAAATGTGGTGTTGAGGAGTTGCTAAACGGAAGATCTTGCTAGACAACGGAATATCAGTAAATTCATAATATTTTGAATAGTTTTTACACATCCGCTTACAATTGTGTAAGTATGTTTATAGAACTAAGAGCTCTCGAGAAACATACACAAGTCAGCACTAAATAAATATAATAAATATTTATGTAATGCATCAGCGTTTACCCACATCGCTTATAAAATTTGTTTTATTTAGGGGACCGTAGTAAAATCTTAAGCTTAACAATTTTAGGGGGCTAATTATATATTTTTTATCAGATTAAAAACATTTCGCTGTAGTTAGAAATCCTCTTAAAAGTTGCCTAGAAAACGAACGACTGCGGGGCGTGGAGTCTCTATGACAAGAACAAGAATATAGGTAACGACTGAAATGACAATAATGAATATGTACCCATAAGAAGCTAAAGACAAAGGCAATATTCCAGTCAAAGGCAACGAAAAACACAAAAATTAAAAAAAAATCAACAGGGCGTCGTTGGTAAGTCGTGAAGCTGAACCCGAGCACCCAGTAGTTGACGACGGAATCAATGACCCATCGCTGCTGAAAAACAACAAAATTGATAAAGCTTTCCACCCTGCCAGATAAACGGTTTAAGTACGGTGGCAAGGAGTTAAAGCGCCTCTGGCTCGTTTTCCAAAACGTCTTAAAAAAATTTTAATTTGTGTGGAATAAGCCATACCTTAATTGCTGCTATTGCAAATATTACACTGTTCGCGTGCTTTGTTTTGTGATGTACATACATTAATAAGAAAAAAAAGAGTTGTAGTTTTTGGGTCTGACAACCAATACATCCTGCAGCCAATTTATAGCAACTTGAGGCTCTTACAAAGTGAGTAATATGTACGTATTTACATTTTTTAAATGCTGAGATGTCATAACACACGCAACTCAATGCCACAACATTGCACTATGTCGAGAGGTCAACCATTGGAATAACCCCTCATTCCTTGGTGACTGCATCATTATTGAATGAATTGACTTATGAGTTGTTTGTTCCGTTCTTATTGTTTATTGTTTACACTTTTAGTTTGCTTTTCCAGGTAAAAAAGATGAAACGAAGAACCAGCAGATACTAATTTATATACCTAAGTATGTACATGCATACATATGTACATTAGACCGTATCACATAAAAAGTTCAAATTTTTTTGTGGGAAGTATGTAGGCTTTTTTAATACATTTACAATAGTGTAACATTTATATTTAGAAATCCGACATCCAAAAAAAGGAAATGCCTTTTAAGGGTTTCTAAAATACCCTCATGGTGAATGTTTACAATCGCTTAAAACAAATTGATCTTTTTTCGGCACACCTATACCTATACCTATATATGTACGTATGTACATCCATTCCTGTGGATGTGGTATGTGCATCAAGTCAACCGTAAATCACTATCGAAGCTATTCTTACACAGTACAGTGGAAGCTGCGATAATTGACTCTGAAACCAAACAAGTAAAGAAGTATAAGTCCGGGCGAAACCGAACTTTATATAGCCGGCGCAGTTATCAAATAACGTCGTTTCAACTTTTTCTAAACAACATTTGCATGATAAGCAGAGGGTTTTCCCAATTTCAAACTTTTTCGATTATATGCTGAATTAGAGTTAATGAAATAATTGAACCTAGTTTGGTAGAAATCTACCGAGATACACCTTGTAGTCATAAGGTGGGGGGTGCCACGCCCAATTCCTATAAGTCTATAGCAGACTATTAACTTGGAGTAAATTTGCGTCCACAGTTATTGAAATATCGGAGTTTTCGAATGTCTGAAATTTACCGTTAATCGGGAAGTGGGTATAATTTTAGACCGATTTGAATAATTTTCAACGAATTTCTTCCTTGTTCTAATATTATTAAGGGCACCGAGTTTGGTAGAAATTGATGAATGAGTTACCGAGATAAACATTTGTGATCATAAGGGGGCGGCGCCACGCCCATTATGCAAAAATGTATAATAATCTAATTTTGAGCTAAGTGGTTGCTGTAATTATCGATTTTTAGTCAATTAGCTCCAGTATTTACTGATTTGTCGCAGTTTTCGTGTTTCTGTAAATTACCGTTATATGGGAGGGGGCATGGTTATTGCCCGATTTTAAAGCTTTTCAACAGATTTCTTAGCTGGCCGTAGAAAAAGCTCGTACCGAGTTTGGGAAGCATTGGTGAACTGGCTACTGAGATACAGCAATTCATCATAAGTGGGCGGGGTCACGCCCATTTTCCAAAAGTTTGGATCCAATATACCGAAAATACCGTTATATGGGAAGTTGGTGTGGTTACAGTCCGATTTCGCCCATTTTCAATACCAACCTACCTTGGGTAAAGGGAAACCTACATGCCGAATTTCGTTGAGATATCACGGACAAACAGACATGGCTTAATCGACTTCTCTATTTATTCTGAGCACTTATGTATACATTTGTCGATATCTATCTCGATTCGTTTTGGTTGTTACAAACAACCGTTATGTGAACAAAGTTAATATAACCTTCTGCACAAGTGCACTCGGGTATAAAAATTATTGATCAGTTTAATTTGGCTTAAACGGAGCTGTGGTATTGGGACTCCACTGTACCCAAGGTTGCGCTGTTGTACCTGTTGAACCATTTGTGCTAGGATATGTGTTTGTACTTTGCACCAAAGCAGTCATCCACTCACTCATACATGCGTTGAAGCAAATGTCTGCAGCAGCTAACAAAGTCAAAGATATTTGGCTAAAAGTCGTCCAGCCAAATGCTTGTACGCTTTTTTACAAGCACTTTTTGTGTTGGCATTGATGTCGGTCGCCATTGATAAAGTGAAAACAATGAAATACAAGTATAACTCAAAATTATGTTCGGTCAAGAATAGTCGTATTGTGCCCTACTCTACAACAAACATTAACATAAATAAAGAATAAAAAACTGTATGCGGCCTTTTAAGAATACTAATAATTACAAAATATTCTGCGCAACCCGCGCTGCTGTACCCCTTAATATTGCTGCGGACCCGATGTGCCGTGGGTGGGGTGTGTACATATTTTTCATATCTACGTACGTATCTCTAAATAGCTCATATGTAGAATAGTTCGCTTAGCTTAGGTACATTATCTCCCAATATCTTTCAGATTCCCAGATATGTATGTATAGGGTATACAAGTGAGTTTTAAAGAATCGTCAACGAAAAGCACCAGTAATGTTTAAGTATGCCGGACAATGTTGCAGCCCACTTCATGTGGAAGCGCCAACATTAAGACATATTTAACAGTGTAAGTAATTTCATCAAAGTGTAAGCCACATTTTCTTTGGTGCGACGACTATGTCAGTCGATAGTAGGCAGGCATACTTGTCGGTGGGACAAAACAGTACCGGAAAAAGAAGGGCACCTGGGAGTTTGCACATCATTTGTGCATAGGTTTATACTCGGCAGAGGGTTACCACTATAATAGGAATTCCTTGTTTAAGAGTGTGATTAATAAACATGTAATCTGATTAAAAGCGAAGATTTTTCAGCTTGTGAGTACTGGTTTCGGCGTTGCAAAAGTCGGCACAACCGACATGGAGCGAGAAAGGAGGTAATCTGCGTGTGTAAACGGCGGCTTGAATAACTTTCGGCAATAATAGGCGGGACTTAACAAGACATAGATTGCATAGCGATTGAAAGCCTTTTTTTTTTGTTGTCCAAAAAGTTGGTTACTGTGTTCCACACGAGTTCAACCCAAGATATATCGCACGGCGTGTAACTGTTTTCCAAATGCTCCTTCAAGGGTACAAACCGAAGTCGTTTTTGCATTGTATTGTCACCGGCCATTTAAAATTGTTTTCATACAACCGTGCCAAGCGCAAGAAGGCGTATGTTAAGCACGCCGAACATGGACCATCTATGCCAAAGGAAAATATCTTTGGCAGCAAGATAATGCTCTGCATTTGGTGGCATCAGAAGAGATTCCTGTATCATGAGCTTCTGAAAAATGGTCAGACAATCGACCTCTACTGAGAACAAGTGATGCGATTGAAGCGAGCTGTTGCGGATGGAAAGTCCTAACCCACACGCCTTATAGCATTTACCTTGATGCAGAACGACCTTATGTGCTCTTGGTCTCCAAAGACGAGCACTTTTATTGGCGTAAAATTCAGGAATTGCCAGAAAAGTGCGGCAAAGTCATAGCTAGCTATGAGCAATACTTTCAATGAAATACATTGCACCAATTTTGCATAATAAAGTTTTCAATAAAATAGACCTCGGTCAAGAGTTGTGCAGGTGCTTTCAATCCAAAGCAGCCAAAGTAATACGTATTTGAGTATTTAATGGCCCAAACACTTATGTATAGCGTACCTTTATGAATATCTATTGTTGTTGCACTATGTACGTACATATGTGCATATGTATGTACGCAGTCTGCAGAATGAAGTGAATCCTCAATGCATTCGGCACGAAGTGGACGGTTTATTTTGACGTTTGGCTGCATTCGAGAATTTTGTTGGCTAATTAGACTTGGTTAGCGCCTACATAAAAGCCAGACAGGCTAACAGACATTGTGGCGGACATTTGTATGTATGTGCGTAAGTGTGTTTCTTACTCCAGCAAATGGCATTTGAAGAGGATGCTGCATGCGAGCACGCAACCATTGAAGGCGCATTCAGTAAGACTTTGGAAACGTGTCTGTGCAGACGTTATACGCTCAACTCAGAAATTTTTCTAACCGCTTTTAATTTTCGTTTTTTTTTTGTTTTAATTCGGAGTATTCGTTAAATATTTGTGTACCTATTAGGCGCCTTTGTGTGTTTGAAAAGGCCTACCTATTGTCATATAGAATGTGGCTGATCTATTGTTGTTTGGCACAACTCCTGACAGGCATGACCATAGCAGGTGTTGCAGAAAACGATGGTCGGCCAGTGTTACAAAGGAAAGAATTTGTAACGCTTCATAAATGGACTGAGCTGAAATTAACGGTGCCGGAGAGTTATCAGCAGCCATCGACGCTGGATGCTATACGATTTGCACAAGATAAGCTCTTGCCAGTAGATGTTGATGTGGAGTACGGTGGTGAGTGTACATACATACCTACATATATATCTACATATTGCAGTACAAAGCATGCATTAAATATTTGGATTTTTGTTTTTTTAATTTGTTACCATTTCTTGCTTTAGATGATGGTTACCACCGCACCTTCCTTACAATTCCACGTTTGAGCAACGGCGTTCTTTACTCACTCACTGTGGTCGCTGATAGTGATAACTCGACTGTTCTCAATCCCTTTCTGGTGCCCTATCCCAGCTATGACTGGCACTTGAGTTTTGGACAAAATTGCAGCACTATAACATCGGCGATAAGAACTTTTGTAAGTTGAATTAATTTTTAAGTTATACAAAGTTCTTATTCATTCTACTCGTAGATTGATGACTGCTGGCGTTTATGGGTAGTTGATTTGGGTCAAATTAATGGTATTCAATATTGTGCACCTCAAATACTGGCTTTCGATTTGGTCACAGATCAGCTGATACACCGTTATATTATTCCTGCATCACAGTACACGCCTGGTGTATCGATTTTCACGGCACTCGCTGTAGATGTGGATGAATCTGCGCCGAGTTTGGAGTGTGTTAATGCTATGGTCTATATTGCCGATCCTTGGGGCTATGGTTTGATTGTTTACAATATGGCGCAAGGTCAGTCTTGGCGCATACAAAACACCCACATGCAACCAGATCAACTGTTGACCCAAGACAAGACGGGCAGTAGTGGCATTTTCACAGTGAGCATTAGTCCTCGGCAACACAACAAAGAAGAAGGTAAATTTCAATCTGGCTACGCCGATGTATACGTCGACAAACTTTGATAGCGATACGAAAATTTTCGCTAACTCGTTTGAGAAGGCCCCACAGAAGAATTAGTGAATTATCTGACAAAGGCTCAAAGTAGACTCAGAACCATATCAACGCCATTTAAACCAGCTCAAAATAACACAAAGTTAAAAATGCCCTATAAGTTAAAAGCATAGTGATTTCGTTCCCTTAGCATACGTTTCTAAAAGCTCTTAGTTTAAATACAAAAAAATGTATGTAGTTCAACCAGAGTCATACCACAAAAGTATACTTTTTCTTTCTTGTCTTTCTTGTAGCTGATCGGCGTCTGTATTTTCACGCGCTTAATAGCTTTCTAGAAGTAAGTGTACCATTATCTTTGGTAAACAATGCTTCGCTCTGGACACTTCCCAGTAATTCAGAAAAGCAAGATGAGCTATACGATCAGTTTAAAATAATCGGCAGCCGTGGCATACAATGTGAGTCCGAAGCAATGGACAATGATGGTAATTTATATTGCAGTTTGATTAGTTCAAGTGCGTTGACCGCTTGGAAGGAGGACAGCGATTACGATTCAGATAATTTGAAGGTAAATAAGTATGAAAAATAAGAATAGTTGGATGCTCTTTCCTAATGCAAATATTTAAATGTACAATTTTTAATAATTACAGGTAGTCGCCTACAACCCAGAGAGGCTACGATTCGTCACAGGATTAAAGATTAACCGAAATAATCTTGAGGAAGATGAACTGTGGGCTTTGAGCAGTAATCCTGAGGTTAGTTACTATATACATATGTACATTAGACCGTGTCAGAAAAGAAAAAAGTCGCCGAACACTCCTAAGTGTACAGAACTTTTGCAAGTCAATTTCGAAAAAAATATATATATATTTCTTTACTGAACGTAAAAATCCATTGACTGGGGTTTGGGGTTTGGACCCATTTTAGTACTTACCCACCAGAGCTCTGTTCCCATAACGTACCACCCTAATGTCAGTAATTTAAAGCTAATTCCTTTTTTAAAGGAAATATGAAATTAACGATAATCTTAAATTTTTTAAATGAGAATTGAAGTCGGCTTTGTTTTTTGCTAAAAAATTACTTGTTATAATATATGTATGTATACATATGACATTTTTGCCAAAAATGGTCTGGTTAGGTAGGTTAGGGTCGAGATATTTTGAAAACCCGTATTTATGCTCTGATTTGTTTCACTTTTCGCATATTTAGTTGAAACGTAGTTGGACATAGGTTTGCAAAAAATTAAACCGCTGGTGGCGCTGATGTCAAAATAAAAAGTACGTTAGACATAAAATGCATGTTTTCTTCCCGTTAAAAATTCTTTCAAGAACAAAATTAACAAAATTTTTTCAATGAAAATTTTAGTAACGTAACGCTAGCAAGAAAAGATTTTTACATTTCACAACTTGGAAAATTAACCTTAAAAATTTCCAATATTAGTACAAAAGCTTTTATACAAATAGTCTTGCCCAATGGACAGAGTTTTTCAATTTTTTAATTGAAGTGAAAATCCACTTCTGTTTTTTGTAACGTCACGCCAGCGCATAAGTTTACTAATATTTTTAAATCGCTAATACCAACAGTTGTAATTTTTTTACTGAATAAGGGGTCATTTAATTGCTACGCAAATCTAGAAAAGCCTTTTTAAATTTTGACTTTTTCAAATTTTTAACATTTTGTCATACGATTAGTTTGGAAATACCTCTCGGCAAAAAAAAATAGAAATTTCCTTACAATTTTTTTTATTCTCAGGGGGTAAGGTCTAATGTACATAGGAAAAAGTAAAACAAAACATTTCATATCCTGTTTTTCTCAAATCTTCTAGCTTTTTGTTGGCGCAAAAGTACAGACCGACGATATAAAATTCCAAATAATTGGTTGTCGTGTCAAAAATTTGCTGGAGAATGAGCCTTGCTCAGTGGTAATAAATCATTTACGGAGAGCGTGAATGAAAATTAAAATAATGTAACTCAGCGAAGAAAAAATTACTTTCTTACATTTAAATAAATGAAGTGCTGAAATATATACGTGTGAATATTATTTTTAAAACTATGTAATTCCAAATACTACACAATTAAAAATGTATCAACCATAGGCGCTAAACATTTACTTACATTTTCGAAATAATGCACAAAAAAATGTACACAGAGCCTTTACCTTATTTACCTCTAAGCAAAAGCTGGAGCAAATTTTTGGTATAATTTGCTGAAAAAACCTAAGGTAGATCTAGCCTACGAAATAGCTTTTCGCATTTTCTGACGAACGTGTAATTTTGAGTTGTGTCACTTTTGAATGAATGTAAATGTAAATGTAAAAATGTTATTACAATTTTAGTCACCCCCAAAAATTCCCCAATGTTTTCGAGAAAAATCATTTTCGTATGGATTTTCAATAGTTAATATTTAAGTAATTTTAATAATACATATACATACATGGAATGTTCAACTTGTTCTTATCGTGTTCATCTTGTTTNGAAGGTCCAAGAACTGTGAATGCCACATTTTTCGAGCCAACTAAACTGGCGAAGCGCATTTCAGAGAACGTATATTTACTGGCTGGCCGCTCTTAAAATGCGCTTCGCCAGTTTTGTTGGTATTTGACAGTTTCCACGCTGATCCGTTCTTGGACCTTCTCTATAAATATACGTTCTCTGCAGAGAACGTATACGTATATATATAAATATACGTTCTCTGGTATATACGTATACGTTCTCTGCAGAGCATAACAATGCGCGCGCCATCTAGCGGGACTACAGCTCATTCACAATAGTGATTGAAAAACGTCGCCGTTGAAATATTCAGCCAACGGCGGACAATAACCGATTTTGCCCAACAGCTGATTGCAAATGTCAAACGGCACTTAAAAAACACGCAAGTGCTTTGTTATTTGTATTTAATTTTTTTAACATTCCAACGCATTGAAATTTAGCCAGCAGAAAATGACTATAACAAATTTACAACGTTGGCTTCTCTATATAGGACTTTTCGCAATACCTTATCTAGCTATAGTGGCTGGTTATCTGCGGGCGCCTGTGTTAACCAAGTGGGAATTGGAAATCCAATTGTTGCCGATTGTGCTACTGGTTTTGTTTGGAGTTAGTATACAAATTAGTATGTATGAAAATTATGTGCTATAAATGTTCTTTCATTATAGGCTTATGCAGCCACAGTTGTGCTCTATCGCACCTTTACATTCAACGACTGTCCACAAGCGGCCAAGGAGTTGCAGCAACAAATTGAAGAAGCGCGGAAAGATTTAAAAGAAAAAGGTTTTGTATTTCGCGACTGATGCATATTTGTAACTACTTTTATAAGCTGATTAACTTTCCAATCATATTAATTATTAAATATAATTGAGTTATATGTAAATAAATATATAATTATGTACTTACGTATGAATAATGCAAAAGGAAATTGAATTCTGTTTAGATGCATGCTGCGCGAGTTCAGTAAAACTTGTTTGGCATTCCATGAGTGTTGCTTTAGCGCTAAAGATTAAAATCAGGTAATTAGTGAGCTACTAAGTAGACAAAATTAAGCTGTATTTCTCTTATAAAGGTTATTTATCAATAGAAAATGTATCGTACCGATGCGTTAACATACATTAGATGCGTTCGACAAGTCAAACATTTTTAATAGTTTTCCAAATTTTTACTGGATGGCGTTCGATAACGACAAAAAATTATCCAACACGAAAACATATGATCACAAAACATATGGTTGCAATTTTTGTAAACAAACAAAATTGCATTTTCCGAGTTTTGGTATTTATATGCTTTTTGGCTGCCTGCTATGTGACTTACGGATATTTTCGATTTTTTGTTAGTTACGGCATATTGGTGGCAAACTATCGATGGCACTATCGAAAATTTTTCAAATTTAAAACACAAAAATTGTAAAGTGGCAATACTTTTATATAAAAGAATATCTCTGATCCAGTACTTTATGAACTTAAAGTTTTTACACGAACTTGCAGGAAGTTACAGGAAAAATGTTCGCGTACTCTAAACTCCTGTAAATGAGGGCACTTTTTTGGAGAGTTGTGTAGAGAATGAAATTAGAAGATTTTAGCCGAACTTTTTCTTCTGGTAAAATCATGAAAAGTATCAAGCGATAAGCTGTTTGACGTTTTTACAGGAAAAGTGCTTTTTTGTTCCAGTACTTTGCGGTTGTTGCTCAGTTTTTACTTTCAATTCAGAGAGTAATTTTGCTATTTGACATTTTACCATGATAAAAACATAACAAGGTAGAACCGTTCTCTCAATTTGTCGGCCATGATTTTTTTTTTTAAGTTTGCCAGTATTTTAAAATCATATAAAATTGAAATTGTTCGAAATTGTTGTTGCTTGAGATTGAAAATGAAAATGTGTGTGTGAGTTTGTGAGTAAATTTAAAATGTTTGGAAACGTCAAGATTTTTCAAAGTAACTCTCAGCGGTTCTACCTTACTATATTTTTATCATGCATTTTACAAGATTTTGGACGAAAAGTATAGGATCAGAGCTAATACATGGCCTAACGTCATCAGTAGAATCGGGACGAATGTAGAGTAAAGCAGCTTTAATATTAAACGAAAAAAGATCGCAACTAAAACCTAAAAATATTGGCATGCCATGTTTCCTATATCTTATATATAAATAGGCAATCATGTTTTCTTCACACCCCTATTTCGGCTAAACCATACCTCTAAGGTATAAACTATATGTTATTATATATATTATATATATATAATAATTATATATCATTAGAAAGAATTTTGAATTTTTGAAATTTCAAATTAGTTTAACATAAAGCGAAAAAATCAATTCAAAAGTGACACCTCCTAAATGTATGCTTTAATATTGATACTGAATTAAAGAAATGTGCTAAGCAGCAGTTTAGGAATCAGATTTATGTAGACTAAGATTCATGCAAGGAAGAAGGTAAAGTTGAGTATGTAGAAGAAGAAAGGGATAAAGGCAAAGAAATAAAAGTAAAGAAACCTAAATATAAAGACAAAGAGGAAGGGAAATTTAAATACCTGACCTAGTAACAATGGTGGGATAAAGGAAAATATAAAGATGAAGACGAAGACGAAGATGAAAATGAAAATGAAGATAAAGATGAAGATG